CCCCTACCCTTTTCTGTCAAGTACTAGCCTCTGATCTTTCTCAACTCTCATTTGCAGTCAGTACCCTCCTCCAATATGTTGACAGTCTACCATAATGTAGCCCATCCCTTTCTTCCTTTCAACAAGACACTGTTACCTTTCTTGCTTTTCTGTATTACAAAGGATATCAGGTCTCCACCACTAAAGCACAACTTAACCTACAACAAGTAACTTATCTGGGACTGCAACTGACCCCAGGACACAGGGCTATAACCACTCAGAGAAAACAACAAATTGCCTGCTTACCACCCCTTCACTCCAAAAAGGAATCCTGTGCTTTCTTGGGACCTACTGGATATTTCAGAATTTGGATCCCAAATTACAGTCTTCTTGCTAAACCTCTTTATGAGGCCACCCAGGAACCAAACACGAGCCTCTTAACTGGCAGTCTGCAACTCAATCTGCTTTTAACACCCTCAGAAAGGCTCTTACTCAAGCCCCAGCCCTGGCTCTTCCAAACCTCCCAAAGAATTTTCTTCTATACATAACAGAGAGGGTAGGACTAGGTCTAGGGTTATTGGGACAAAAATACAGACTGTATTTAAAGGCTGTGGCCTCTCTTTCAAAACAAACAGATAATACTGCAGAGGGATGATCACCTTGCCTCAAGGTTTTAGCAGCCACTGCCATACTAACACAAAAGTTAACAAACTCACATACAGCCAACACATGGACGTATACTCTCCTCATCAGGCTAGAGACAGTCTAAACAACAATGTCTACTGATTCCTCACCAGCTTTCACCTTACCCAGTACCAGACCCTCCTGGTAGAAAATCCTAACATCACCATCCAGAGTCGACTACCTTAAACCCTGCCACTCTCCTTCCTACATCAGGTCCTAGCATGCTCCTGCTCAAAAACACCAGAAATCAGAAATCTCAAGGGCAGTCACAGCAAATCCAACAGACATTCCTCTTCTTAACCCAGATCATGTCTGGTACACAGAGATGGCAGCAGCTTTATCCTAAATGGGGGGAAAAGTTGGGTACACTATTACTACTGCCACCCAACACATAGAAAGCGCTTCACTTCCCCCAGGCACGTCAGCACAAAAGGCAGAACTCATTGCCTTAACCAGAGCACTTACCTTAGGAGAAGACAAAAGACTTAACATCTATACAGATTCCAAACACACCTTTCACATCTTACATTCACATGCAGCCATATGGGAAGAAAGAGGACTCTTAACTACCAAGGGAAGACTCATTAAGCATGCACTTCCCATTCTACAACTTACTAAGGCAGCCCAGCTCAGGTCTCTGTCAGACACTGCAAGGGACATCAAAAAGCACAAGACTTAACAGCACCAGGCAATGACAAGGCCGACAAGGAAGCTAAGAGAGCCACCCTGCCCCCTTTTCCAGCTGCTTCAGCACCGACCCACTTCCATTACTCCAGCATGCTCTGAAAGGAAGCCATGATTTCTAAAGGATCAGGGAGCTACAGCAGAAGGACCATGGGTGACCCTCCAGAGAAGGCTCATTTCACCCACTAGCCAAGAACGTGAAACCCTCACACACCTTCTTCACAACTCATCACACACAAGGAAAAGGCCACTCTATAAACTCTTAAGTTCTCAAATCGTCTGTTCTAACTTAATTAAAATTATCACCCAGGCCTGCCCTATCTGCAGAACTATTAGCCCTCAGGGATATCTAATAGAGCCACCTCCTTCGTCTTACTCACCAACTAAGGGGACACCTTCCAGGACAGGACTAGCAGCTTGATTTTACACACATGCCTAAATACAAAAAATACAGACACCTACTGACATTCACTGATACTTTCTTGGGCTAGTTAGAAGCCTTCCCTGAAGGCCTCTAAAAAGTCCCTGAAGTCACACAGGCCCTCATAAATGGCATCAGTCCTGGCTTTGGCCTCCCATCTCCTTCCAAAGCAGTAAAGGTCCTGCTTTCACTTCTCAAATAGCTCAGCAGGTTGCACAAACACTAGGTATCACTCCAACTTCATACAGCATATCATCCTCAATCTTTGGGGAAAATAGAGAAAGCTCGTTCTACTCTCAAACAACATCTAATGAGACTATCTATTGAGCTCCACCGAGGATGGCCACAACTCTTACCTTTAGCACTTTTAAGGTTCAGGGCAACTCCTAAGGCCCTCCTGTTTCTCACCCTCTCGAGCTTACATAGGAAGACCCCCTACAGCACCACAGGGTTCCCACTGAGTTCCCCCACCCCTGGGAAATGATCTCCCAGCCCTTGAACTAACTCAAGGCTTCTGAAGGATTATGCAAACTAACATATCCCTGCCCCCAGGATCCAGCCTGTCCCGGAGCCAGAGGCTACTGGACAATTTACCTGACCAAACCAAGACCTTCCAGCCCCCATGGATGGGATCCTTTCAAACAACATTAACCACCTGCAGCAAAATTTTGGGGGTTCTCCTCCTGGATCCATCTATTTCAATCAAGATAGCACTTCCACCAGCCCCAGAAGCTCCAGCACTAGATAAGCTTAAACCAGACCACTATACGCTGGAATCTCTAGGTGACCTCAAATTTCTCCTCAAAAAGGTAAACTCATAAATGTCTCCAGGACCAGATATTAAGGCTTTCAGACATCACATTTATTTTCTAATCCTCTCTGAGCATTGGTGGGGACCAGAAATACTACAACTTCTTTTGAGACTAGCAAAAAGATTATTCTCAACCTGCTGCTCTGTCAAGCACAAACTCATATAGACAGTTGTAACAACTGGTATCTCCAACCTAAATACAAAGACTTTGAAATTTGGGTATGCCTAATCTATCACCGGGTGTCCTGTCATAAAATCGAATACTTTAAATACATTACAAAATCACATCCAGCTGACAAACAACTTTAAAGCAGCCCCTGCAGCCTTTATTACAGTTTTATCAGCCTTAAGAGCATGAGCCTTTGCCCAATGCTTTGTTTGTAAACTCTAAGCCTACACAGTTGCTTGTTACAGTTTTTTCATTAAATCTCCATTAGCATTTATTCCTGGAATGCTCTCCTCTTACCTAGGCAGGCAGGGACATCTCTACATCCCAAACCAGCAGGTAGCAGCCACGGAAGTAAGACCATCGCCCAAACTCCTTAGCACTAAGTAAGATTATTTCAAAACAACAAGAGGAGGGAATGAAAGGGCAGAATCAGGCCAGGCATGGTGGCTCAAGTCTATAAACCCAGCTCTCTGGGAGGCCAAGGTGAGAGGACTGCCTGAGCCCACAGGTTTGGAGACCAGCCTGGACAACTTGGCAAGACCTCCTCTCTATAATAAATCAAAAAATTAGCCAAGTAGGGTGGCATGTGCCTGTAGTTCCAGTTACTTGGAAAGCTGAAGTGGAAGGACTGCCTGAGCCAAGCAAGTCAAGGTTGCAGGGGCCATCCATGAGCATGTCACTGTACTCCAGCCTGGGTGACAGAGTAAGACTCCAACTCAAAAAAAAGGGGGGGGGCAGAATCAAAACGGAGTTACTATAATCATCCTAAAACAAACCTAACAGAAACTTGGCTCAATTTCTGCCAACATAACTGAATAGCAGTTCAACTTCCCCAAGCGCCTGATTAATTACACTCTAACCATGGGTCACTAACCTTAATAAGAATAACCTACTACATTTTAGAACATTTAGAACCCAAGAACACCACCACAACCCCAGCTAAGTTTCATTATACCTTTAGTTCCCTAGGTGAAAAGAAAGCTAGTATCTGAGTTTTAAGAATTTGTCTTAGTACGCCCCTGTAGTTCCAGCTACTTGGAAGGCTGAGGAGGAAGGACCGCCGGAGCCCAGCAAGTCGAGGCTGTGGTGGCCGGGAGCATGCCACTGCTGAGACTCAAAAAAAAAAAAAAGAATTTGTCTTATAGACCCTGGCCCAGTCTCCCTGTCTATATAAATGGCTAATCAACATGGCAACGACAAGTCCCCCCTCCCACACCATCAAGTTCCTCTTTGCAAAACAGCTCACTTTTTTAACTTCCTAGAAAGAATCTTATAAACCCCTAGCCTCAAACATTCGGGTGCTGACACTTCTCAGTGTCTGGACCCTTTCTTCTCTTGGAAAGTGAATCAAGTCGTTTGCCTGATTCTTGTACAAATCTTTGCGACCCGCAGCAATGACCTAATACCAACCTAGCGATTCTTGAAATGAAAAAGCTATTTATGGAGACAGGTAAGTGATTACTGAAGAGCCAAGGTGGGGGGAGAGGCAAATATGGCTCTAAAAGGGTAGCACAAGGGACCCTTGTGGTGATGAATCTGTTCAGTATCTTGCCTGCAGTGGCATACATAGAAACCTATACGTGTGATAAACTGTACAGAACTAAATACACACAAACACATGCGCATAACACTGGTGAGGTCTGAGGAAAGTCAGAGATGGATGGTATTAATGTTAATGCCCTGTTATACTATAGTTACGAAAGATGTCACCTCAGGGAAAAACAGGGAGGGTATATGGATCTCTGTGGATTACCTCTCACTACTGCATGGAAATTTACAATTGGTGTAAAAGTTCAAAGCAGTAAAGAGGCAATTCTTGTTAAGAATATGAATAATAGCCGGGTTCGGTGGCTCAGCCTGTAATCCCGCGCCTTTGGGAGGCTGAGGTGAGT